AACTAAATATTCCAGTTTATTCCATTTGAGTCCAACTAATGGGGAGATCTGTTTTAGGGTGTAGTTTCTTTACATTACTGCATTTCTGTAAAAGTTGTCTCACATATTTGCATATTAAAGTTGTTTAATTTAAATTCTCAATTCTTTGTGCAGATAAGAAAAGTTGAACTTTTATATATTTTTACAGAGATGGCTTCAGCTCTTCATTTCATTGTGCTCCTCTGTGGACTGTGGATCGGAGCAGATGTACTGCAACCAGTCGAGGCAGGTACCACGGTCTGCTCGAGGTTTCTGCCTCGTCAAATAATCTTTTTACTACAAAATGAACTATCAACTATTTAAGTTCATTTATTTTTAAGTATCCTGACATCATTTCTTTCTCAGCAGGAAGACATTTTCACATTCTGTCCCTCTTTTAATAGTTATCAGTGCATCAGGGGGTAGTGAACCATACAGATTTGGCAAGTGTATTTATGAAAAAAAGACAATATCCTAGTTTATCCTATATTGTTTTTTTAACTTGTTGTTTTAAGTGATTGTGAAGCTAGGATGGTACTCCCCACAGCTTCACCAATTTTTTATGTAATTTTTTAAGTCTGAGATCTTTTCCATCTAACTTCTAATGAGGCCTTGAATCAGGTTTTTATACTGGTAGATATGGTTTTCAGATTTGATATATGAAGGGAGGAGGATGAGCCATACTACCAGCCAATCACTGTTATAGCTACTGAATATTGTAACTGAGGTAATTAAAAGTAAAATTGGACAACCTCTTGCTTCATAGACATTACTATTTAAAAAGTCAAGTTCAAACAAATTTGAGTTCTATTTTGTTCTAATTCATTTGAATGCAGCCATATGGCGTAATGGGACACTCCCCCAAGTGACGTCTATCCTTCATTGTAGTGTCACAAATGTCATCTCTACACACATCTAAAGCTACGGAAAGGAAAACTCAGAGTTGTACAGTATTCGTGGCTAATTATGTGTTTTTAACATCCACAGGCGCAACGTGAAACACAAAAAGGTTGGTGATTCTTACATTTGTGGATGTTAATGATCAAAATACTGTTGTACTAAAGCTATTCTCTCTGCACCTTGAGTATTCCTCATCCAGTGTCCATCCACCATCATTAACCTAGTTTCACTCCTCTCACACGTTTGCCAGCCAGATTAATTGATTATTACATTATAGGGCTTCAACGAATAATTGATAAGTTGATCTAAAGAATGTTACCTGGCACACTCCTTAGTTCCAGCTTCTCAAATGTACAGATTTGCAACTTTTCTTTATCATACATTATGATAGTAAATTAAATCAATAGTTATTTGAATCATTATATGCAGTCCTTTTGCATTATTGTCCTTCTAAGCTGATGAATACTTTGTAGGTAATTACTGTGAGACTGTCACCTGCCCTCCTTTTTGGACTCAGTTTGACCGTCGCTGTTTCCTGTTCAGTTATGCTGAAAAGGACTGGACAGATGCAGAGGTACTTTATGAAACCATGTTTATGTTTTTAAAAAGTCATTTTAAATACACAGAATTCCTTCATTGTGGGTTATTATTGTTTATTGTTGTTGTTGCCACTAAATATTACTAAATGATCATTTCTAATCTGAGAAGAAACTCTGAGCTACTGGTTATAATGTCGGTACAAACAGTGGACAGTACAGTGATGTTCATGTAGTGATGTTAAGAATTCAAACAGTCTTTGTCTTGTTGGTTTGCACTTTGTCTTCCTCATCAGCGTTTCTGCAATTCTCTTGGAGGGAATCTGGCTTCTCTGCGTAGCCAAAGCGAGTACACCTTCATCAGAGACCTGATTTACAAAGCGACTAACTCACATAAAAACACTTGGGTTGGAGCCTCTGATCAAGTGAAGGTGAGTGTTTTAATCAATAAACCGGATATGTTGCAACTGTTTATTGTTATTTTTAGGTTAAGTAATTGCATCAAAAATATATTTATCCACCATTACCAGCTGGCAGTCCATCTTTATGGTAATCTTAAAATTAAGCACTTAAGCTGAGATAAGAGACCTGAGCATGGACGTAATTTGTAATTTTGGGGGGGCGACACAGGGGACATGTCCACTTTTTTCAAAAGGGCCGTTTTGGGTCCCCTTGCAGTTTTTACCCTCCAAAACAATGTTACACTATAGTAAACCAGAGACTGGGTCGAGCCACTAGGACCAAGTGGAAACGGCCGCTCAAGCTGAAGCCTGTCTCCCTTAGTTTAGCCAATAGACATATATGCCAGTATATATATAACATATAATAAACATAATATACATAGTATATATGTATATATGTCTATGGTTTAGGACCCCCCACAAGCTCCTCGATGGCTCTGCCGGTTCTTGTGGGTGTTGGCCGTCCCCGCCTGATCACTCCATCTTGTGCTGCACACCGGACTTGCTAGTTGCCCAGGAGTTCCTCATTAATCCTGCCACTGTTAGGTGGGGTTTACGTTCTGCCTGAGGTCCGGTCAGCTTAAGAAGGGATTGTATACCAGAGCTTTCATGTTACATTAACGTTTGAATCAGTGTCCATGTTGCGTAATGTTGGCGTGTGTTATGTGTATTGTGTGTTTGTTAATTAAAAGCGCCAGCCAGGGAGTCTAAAAAAAGAAAAAAGTGGATCATAAGAAGACTTCTGTAGAGTCGAAGGTGGAAGTTACTCAAAAGAAAAATGCGTTTACATTCCTTGCAACACCTTCACTGGCTCCCAATTAAAGCAGCATATCCACTTCAAAGACCTCTCATCAATTTACAAAAGCTCTAATGATCTTTAAGTGTTCTTTTGAGTTTTATGAAAGTGCTGATAAATTAAAATGTATTTTCATTATTTGTATACTATATTAAAAAACAAAAACAAACAAACATATATTCCAAATAT